AGCAAGGCAAAAAAAAAAAAAAAGGCACAAAGAAGGCAGCACGAACAGAAGAGACACGAATTCTCAATTATGATACATTCCTATCATTTAGTAAGTGGTCTAATTACCAACATATATTTTCCAGTATATCTACAAAATACTTATGATTGATATATTGTCACCAAAATAAGGATAGGGCATGAAGCTCAAATTTTACTTATTTGCAATGAAAATATGAGAAAATATACAGATATTAAATACAACCACAGGTCTACCTAATAGTTCCATCAGGTAAGAAAAACACCAGTTTCCCGGCCGGCCGGGCGCGGTAGCTCACACCTGTAATCCTAACACTATGGGAGGCCGAGGTGGGCGGATCACTTGAGGTCGGGAGTTTGAGACCAGCCTGGCCAACGTGGCGAAACCTCGTCTCTACTGAAAAATACAAAAATTAGCCAGGCATGGTGGCATGTGCCTGTAATCCCAGCTACTTGGGAGGCTGAGGCAGGAGAATCACTTGAACCCGGGAGGTGGAGGTTGCAGTGAGCCGAGATCACACTACTGCATTCCAGCCTGGGCGACAAAAGCGAGACTCCATCTCACAAAAAGAAGAAAAATATCAGTTTTCTAAGAAATCAAGCAAGTATCTACATATTTATAGCTTTGTTGCTTCTGGCCAAGAGACCCTTGAAAAGTCGGTCACCAGTGCATAAGCAGCCTACTTACAGCATATAACCTAAACATATATATATATATATAAATATATATATATATTTTTTCCAGAATAAAACATTCCTTGCTAAGGTAGAAAAAAAAGAACCAAAATACACATTTAAAAAGCAAAACAAAGCACACATTACACAAATGTAAGCACTTTGATGGTGGCCAATATACAGTCCCAGACAGTGAAAATTATTAGAATCTCTCATGATCTGTTTATTCTGCCTTTAACAAAATAATAGCTCTTATTCTATGTCTCAAGTGGTCTCATGAGAGTTGACATTAGTTCCCCATATGTAGCAAAAATATCTCAAACTACTACAAGGATGAAGTGCTATTTCTTACTAGACGCATTATATATACAAAAGGAGAAATCTTGTCCAATCACCTTTTAAAATACTGAACAGCAGAAGCTATCTAGCCACAAGAGCAGACTGTTAATTTCCAACAAGGTGTGATAAACTTGGTATCCTACTAAGTGTTTGCTAAGGAAACAGGGAACAATCACTAAAAGAACTATTTAATTGCTACTGGTGCCATGCAGATTTCAGACTAAAGGGATCCTGGCCAGGAACTTGGCTCATGCCTGCAATCCCAGCAGGAGGGTCGCTTGAGCTCAGGAGTTCAAGACCAGCCTGGTAAGGGCAACATGGCAAAACCCTATCTCTGCCAAAAACACAAAAAAATTAGCTGGGCGTGGTGGCGAGCACCTGTAGTTCTAGCTACTGGGGAGGCTGAGTGGGGAGGATGATTGCTTGAGCCTGGGATGCCAAGGTTGCAGTGAGCTGAGATGGCGCCACCGCACTCACTGCACTCCAGCCTGGATGACAGAGTGAGACCTCGTCTCAAAAAAAATAAACAAAAATGGGGGTGTGGAGAGACACTAAACTAAATCAGGACTTAATTGTTCTTTAGGCATAAAGGGAAACCAACGTGAAGAATGCTCAAAACATAGGGTATTTTAAAGAACAAAATTCTAAAGTGAGCATGTACGCTGGTATATTCTAGATAACGCTTCAACTTCTTGGATAAGACATTTCACTATTCTCAATAATCATTCCAAACAAAAATGGTTTTTGTTATGAAATAGACTAAGAAAATAATCACCTTCACACCTTCAGGATTATGATTCCTTAGGATAGCTTCAGGTGTTTTTTTCTTTAGTAAATTAGTTATTTCTAAGGGGAGCTATATTAGAAACTACTACCCTAACTATCTACTGGGAGTGATGACTCTTATATTACAACTGAGTTTACAAACAGGCCAATCAAATGACACAGACACAAACTACAAATACATGCTATACCATTTTCTCTGGTCTTGACATAAACTTCAAGTACCTTACTACTTGGGGTAATAAAGAACAAACTCAAAACCTACATCACATCACACTTAAATATATGTATCACCTTTTACTATCACTTTGTTAATCCAGTTATGTGCTATACAGGTAATCCAAACACAATCTTAAAAACCTGTACCCTAAGAAATCACGTCAGGCAGGGAAGAGAGTAACACAGGATTGACTTTCTCTTTCCTTCGCCTGGGGTTGAATTAACACATAATTTCAAATGCTAATCTTCCAGTTACACAATTTAGAGGATAAAATCAATTCCTTTTTAAATTTTCTGGTTAATATGTGCATTCGGTATATAGCCTGTTAAGATATTGGTAATGTATTTAGAAGCAATATTTTCTAACACTTAGGTGAATAATGTAAGAACACATGCGAAGCCAAGGTCACTTGTTTAGCCAATATAATATACAGCTTCTTCTAGTATGCAGTTAAATGATGCAATGCATATAAAGAAAATGCCATACACATACTATGTGATTAATAAATGTTATAATTATGCCAAAAAAACCCATACAGGTATTCAAAAACAAAACAAATACATCTTTTGTTAACCTGAGTGATTTAAAGTTAAAATATTATTATTATTATTTTTTTTTGAGATGGAGCCTCATTCTGTCGCCCAGGCTGGAGTGCAATGGCATGATCTCCGCTCACTGCAATCTCTGCCTCCTGGGTTCCAGCAATTCTCCTGCCTCAGCCTCCCAAATAGCTGGGACTACAGGCGCATGCCACCAAGCCCGGCTAATGTTTCTATTTTCAGTAGAGATGGAGTTTCACCATGTTGGTCAGGCTGGTCTTGAACTCCTGACCTCGTGATGCACCCACCTCGGCCTCCCAAAGTGCTGTGATTACAGGCCTAAGCCACCGTGCCCGGCCTTATTTTTTATTATCTGGGACAGTTCATGGTTGAAACACCTTTCCCACACACAAACGTGATGTTCCTTACTTTTACGACAAACAGTAGACAGGAAAGTCACCTTTTGCATATAAAAATGTTAGGCTTCTACATCATAGTAACTGACCAGATTTTCAGCATGATTAAATTTTAAGATTAGTGGTCTCACAACATAACACAATGTTGTAATAATCAACTTACTTGGGGAAAAAAGGGGGTATTCTCTTATTTCTCAACCTAATATGTATTTTTAAGACTTTAGCTGGGACTACAGGCATGTGCCACCATGGCCAGCTAATCTTTTATAATACATATTTTTTGTAGAGACGAAGTCTCGCTACAGTGCCCAGGTTGGTCTCGAACTTCTAGCCCCTAGCGATTCCTCTGCCTCGGCCTCCCCAAGTGCTGGGATTTCAGGTGTGAGCCACCATGCCTGGCCCTATTTTATGAACTTCTCATAATAATCTTTATAATCTTTTCTAAAACACCTTTGAAGGGGGTGGTACTTATACCTGATTAGTTTGTTCAAATCTAGGTAATCAAATCACTATCATGACAAAAGAAAATAATCACCACCAGAAGAGTCAGAATTTGAGTTGGTCATACACTGTTCATCAAGTGGAAATTCTAAGAGAAGCAGAGAAAACGTATGCATGAGGGAAAATGTTCAAGTGTTCTAATTACTGCACCTGTTCAAGATGCATTAGTTTAACTCAGCAAACGTAAATTCGAAGTCTCTCTATATTATCACTATTTTATAGACTTCTTGAACAACTATGACAAGATCTATTGTTATCATAAAAAAATTTTTAAAAATTTTAATTAACAGATGAAACTACCAGATAAAGTACTTAGACAATGCCCTATGGGTGCAGGAGAAAGAACGCTGTATTATGAGTCAGTCCATTTAGAGTTATGAACCTCATAGCACATGGCTGGGTATATCCTTGGAAAAGTTACTCTGGGGCTAAGTTCAATTTCCTCACCTGTAAAGTTAAGACCAAATTACCTTACAGTTAAATAGGCATTTGTAAGTTTTCACAGTGTTTTGGCTTGTTGCCTCTCAGGTGAGTTTTACAGGAACCCTGATGGACGGGCAGGGAAGGTGTCACCGCCCTGTTTTATAGTTGAGGATTTCTTAACAGTTAAGAGATCACATGGAACACTGTAAAAACAGCAAAAGCATCAACACGATGAGCATGAATCCCCACATTCCTAGTCCTTCTGGGAGGCAATACTTAGAGTGACAATCACAATGGCTGAGTGATTAAATAAGTCAATTACTGGAATAAAAGGTTTTTAAAAGACTAAACATAAAAGGAAGCAAATGAAAGTCGACCTTTCTAAAAGCATAGCAAGAATTTTCTTTTAAGTACATACATAGAAAGGTCTCTACGGGTATTCACCGTAATATTAACAGTGGTTCGCTCCGGGTGCCGGGAATACGGGTGACTTTATCTTTTTTGTTTATCTGCGTTTTCTAAAACAAACGTGAACTAGTCGATATTCCAAACAAAAACAAGCCAAAGCAATTACACGCTGGCAGACTGCATGCACGTACGTTTGAAAGCTCCAACTGTAACAACAGTGACAACTCCCAGGAACCCACCGGCATTTCAAGGACACCAGCAGGAAGCCCGGAAATCCCTAAAAACAGGTGCTAAAAGCCGCCAGCGCAACCTGACAGCCGCGACCGCAACCTGACAGCCGCGACCGCCTCTTTTCAACCTGAATTCAGGGGGAGCTGGGAGAGGAGACTAGTCTAGTTTGACAAAATCCGAATCAGAAATTCCCTCTGGCACCTCCCAGATCTCGAAGAGAAAGTGGGAGGAAAGGCTAGGGGGCGGCAGGCATTCACCATGCATGAATAGGGGGGGATGGGGAGAACAGAAGCCTCGAACTCGTGGCTGAAATGGTCCCTCCGCCCCCATCCCGGACTAGGCGCCGGCGAGGAGCAACGGGCTTGGAAGCAGGCCGCCCAGCCAAGGGGCTTTCAGACGGGGCCCAAGGATGCCCTCCCAACCCGGCAGATCCCAGCCCCCATCTTACAGGGTTTCTTGGCATCTTTGATCTTCATGGCGTCGGCCCGAGGGGCGAGGGACGGCCTCCGATCCGGAGCACTGAGAGCAGAGACTGCGACTCCGGAGGTGGCTGGGCCTCGCGGCGAGGCCCGGCCGGTTCCTCCCCTCAGGCCGGGCGGGGCCGGCCTAGGGCGGGGCGGCGGCGCCTGAGCAGATGCCCGGCCCAGGGGGCGGCCCCCCACCCCCGCGAGGGGCGACCGGGACCGAGCAAGCTGGGGAAGGCCGCCGGCCTCGCCGCTCCGGGGCCTCCCCGCAGCCGCTCCAAACAAAAGGCCCCGGTCCCGGGAGCCGCCGCCGCCGCCGCCGCCGCCGCCGCCGCCGCAGCCGCACTGAGAAATAGCCCGCCCAGGCCGAACGCCCACGTGATGCGAGCCCCCCTCGCTCCACTTCCGCCTGGCTGCTGGGGATTGTAGTTCTCCACGTCGTGAGGCCCCGCTCTCTGGCTGTAGTTGTGCAGGTGGACTACAAAGCCCAGGATGCATCCCGGCCCCTCCTCCGAGGCCCCTCAGCTTCCGCAGATCGCCTCAGAGTGGTCCCAGCGAGAAGAGGGCCGGGTCTTAGTCACGCCAGCGAGGAGGCGACCAATGGTGACTGAGATGGGCGGGCTGGGGAAATCGGGCTCAGACCTCAGCAGGTCGCGGAAAGAGAAGAGGGCATGAACTCTTTGCGGGGATTGTAATGGCTCTTTGACCATTCTCAGACTTCCCTTTGAGGCAGGAAAGCTGGTCGTCAGGCCATGGAAAGCGCTAGAATCAGGGCTCTAGAGCCGTGCTTTAGATAGACCCTTGAGTACATTGGCGAATTAAAGTCATTCACAAAGGAATCCTCTTGCTTAATAGAGACACCTTGAATGTTTGGGTCGGAATGATGACAATAGCAGGCATAGAGGTAACATCTATTGAACGCTTTATGTCCATGGGACTCTGCTAAGTACTTTTTGTGATTTACTTCAATTCAGGGGCCTTGAGAACCATGTGCAATTATTCATTTTATTGGCACTCATATTGAAGATGGGGCACGATCTGAGTTCAATTACTTGCTGAGCATTGTTTTTGCCACCGATCCATATTCCCCTGGGGCCCTCCCGCCCAGCTCCTTCCTTCTAAAGGGAAAATCGACTCCCGGAGAAGAAAATTTAGATGCTCCAGTTCTCACAGTAAAGCCAGGACACCCTTTCCCTTTGCCTCCTAGAGCCTTAGTCCTCCAGCTGGAATGGGAGAAGATGGCATTGGGTATCTTCTCTTGGCCTTCACTTTTGTTGCCCAGTTAGATGGCCAGGAATTCTGTGGTTTTTACAATAGATGGATAGAGGGTTGGCAATAGAGGACTGGGCATTCCAGTCAAAGAAGCCCACTTGCCAAAGAGCTTTACTCCTCCTTGCAGATAAGCCAAAGGATGTGAAGAAGGACAGGAGAGGACACAAACTACCATTTATTGAGTATATACTGAGAGCTGACACTTTGTAAAGTGCCTTACTTTTACAATTTAAATTTAAATTTAATCCTCCCAACTACTTTTTGAAATACAATGATTAAAAACTAAAAAAAACTTGCTGGGCGCAGTGGTGTGTGTCTGCAGTCCCAGCTACTTGGGAGACTAAGGTAGGAGGCCCAGGAATTTGAGGCTGTATGTGATAGAGTTTGTGAATATCAACTGTGTCAGAGACATTTATCAGAGCGCGACTCCAACTTGAACAGGGACTGGATAAAATAAGGCGGAGATCTACTGGGCTGCATTCCCAGGAGGTTAAGGCATTCTTAGTTGCAGGATGAGATAGGAGGTTGGCACAAGATATAGGTCACAAAGACCTTGCTGATAAAACAGCAGTCAGTAAAGAACCTGGCCAAATCCCACCAAAATCAAGATAGCAATGAAAGGGATTTCTGGTCGTCTTCACTACTCGTTATATGCTAATTATAATACATTAGCATGCTAAAAGACACTCCCGCCAGCGCCCTGACAGTTTACAAATGCCATGGCAACATGGAAGTTACCCTATATGGTCTAAAAAGGGGAGGAACCCTCAGTTCCGGGAATTGTCCACCCCTTTCCTGGAAAACTCGTGAATAACCCACCCCTTGTTTAGCATATAATCAAGAAGTAACAGTAAGTATAAACAGCTGAGCAGCCCACGCTGCTGCTCTGCCTATGGAGCAGCCATTTTTTTATTCCTTTACTTTCTTAAACATGCTTTCATTTTACTTTCTGGACTCTCCCCAAATTCTTTCTTGCACGAGATCCAAGACCCTTCTCTTGGGATCTGAATGGGGATCCCTTTCTGGTAACAACTGTACTCCAGGCTGCGTGACATAGTGAGACCCATCTCCAAAATAAAATAAAAAATTTAAAAGGTGAAGAAGAATTCACACAATTCAAATATTGGTCCTATCACTTGTTAACAAATTGGGCAAATTACTTCATCTCTCTAATTACTTAAAACATTTCTTTTTATTTATTTTTTTAAGATGCAGTCTCACTCTGCTTCCCAGGTTGGAGTGCAGTGGCACGAACAAAGCTCACTGTAACCTCAAACAGCAATCTGTGGGTAGGGCGGTGGCTACACTGTAGTCTCAGCCTGCTGAGTAGCTGGGACTGTAGGCATGTGTTACCATGTCCAACTAAGTTTTTTATTTTCTGTAGAGATGGGGTCTCACTTTGCTGCCCAGGTTGGTCCTGACCTGCTGGCTGGCTTCAAGCAATCCTCTGCCTCAGCCTCCCAAGGTTTTGGGATTACAGGCGTGAGCCACTGTACCTGGCTGTCTCTCTGATTCTTGTTGAAAATAATAATGCCTGCATTTCACGGGTTTGAGATGGGGATTAAGTGAAAAATGCAAATAAGGTGACATCGAGGTCTTAATGTTTGTATTCTTACGTGGTCTGAATTCAGTATTGAGAGGTGGGGCTTTTAAGAGATGATTGGGCCCTTCTCTCTTCCTCGGCGCTGCCTACGGAGGTGGCAGCCATCTCCTCCTCGAAGGCATCATGGCCGCCCTCAGACCCCTTGTGAAGCCCAAGATCGTCAAAAAAAGAACCAAGAAGTTCATCCGGCACCAGTCAGACCGATATGTCAAAATTAAGCGTAACTGGCGGAAACCCAGAGGCATTGACAACAGGGTTCGTAGAAGATTCAAGGGCCAGATCTTGATGCCCAACATTGGTTATGGGAGCAACAAAAAAACAAAGCACATGCTGCCCAGTGGCTTCCGGAAGTTCCTGGTCCACAACGTCAAGGAGCTGGAAGTGCTGCTGATGTGCAACAAATCTTACTGTGCCGAGATTGCTCACAATGTTTCTTCCAAGAACCGCAAAGCCATCATGGAAAGAGCTGCCCAGCTGGCCATCAGAGTCACCAACCCCAACGCCAGGCTGCGCAGTGAAGAAAATGAGTAGACAGCTCATGTGCACGTTTTCTGTTTAAATAAATGTAAAAACTGCCAAAAAAAAAAAAAAAAAAGAGATGATTGGATCGTGAGGACCCTCCCCTCATGAATGTATTAATTATTCATGGATTGATGGTTTAAGGGGTTAACGGATTAATGGATTATCACTAGACTAGTGGCTTTATTAAAAGAGGCTGAGGCCAGGTGCAGTGGCTCACACCTGTAATTCTAGCACTATGAGAGTCAAAGACAGGCGGATCACTTGAGCCCAGGGGTTTGAGGCCAGCTTGGGAAACGTGGTGAGACCAGGCATGATGGCTCATGCCTGTAATCCCATCATTTTGGGAGCCCAGAAGTTTCAGACCAGCTCCAGCAACACAGCGTACCCAGTTTCAAATGTTCTGTTAAAAGCAATAGAAAATGGACTATGACATATGTAACATATTGTCTGGCATATATGTAGTGATCAGTAAGTGATGATTATGTTTATTATTTGAATTGTTATTCTTTTTTTTTTTTTGAAATGGAGTCTCACTCTGTACCCAAGGCTGGAGTGCAGTGGCGTCATCCTGGCTCACTGCAACCTCTACCTCCTGGGTGTCAGGCCTCTGAGCCCAAGCTAAGCCATCATATCCCCAGTGACCTGCAAGTATACATCCAGATGGCCTGAAGCAACTGAAGATCCACAGAAGTGAAAATAGCCTTAACTGACATTCCACCATTGTGGTTTGTTTCTGCCCCACCCTAACTGACCAAAGTACTTTGTAATCTCCCCCACCCTTAAGAAGATTCTTTATAATTTTCCCCACCCTTGAGAATGTACTTTGTGAGATCCACCCCCTGCCCCAAAACACTGCTCTTAACTCCACCGCCTATCCCAAAAGCTATAAGGACCAATGATAATCCACCACCCTTTGCTGACTCTCTTTTCGGACTTAGCCCGCCTGCACCCATGTGAAATAAACAGCCATGTTGCTCACACAAAGCCTGTTTGGTGGTCTCTTCACATGGACGCGTGAAACACTGGGTTCAAGTGATTCTCGTGCCTCAGTCTCCCGAGTAGCCACCATGCCTGGCTAATTTTTGTATTTTTAGCAGAGATGCGGTTTTGCCATGTTGGCCAGGCTGGTCTCGAACTCCTGATCTCAAGTGATCCGCCTGCCTTGACCTTGGATTGTTATTGTTATTCTTATTGTAAAGTAAAGGAAGAAAGCTTATGTATTTAGACATTTTGCCTAAGGTCATTATTTGGGACCAGACCATAGGTCTAATTAAGTAAAAGATAAGGAAACACATGGCACCAATCAGACCAGATTTTGGTTCTAGATTTTATGTTTGATTTACTATTTTGATTCCAGATTTTATGTTTGTTGTTCAGAAAATTTTTTTTTTTTTGAGAGACAAGGTCTCACTCTGTTGCCTGAGCTGAAGTGTAGTGGTGAGATCTCACTCTGTCACCCAAGCTGAAGTGTAGTGGCATGATCATAGCTCACTGCAGTCTCCAACTCCTGGGCTCAAGGGATCCTCCTGCCTCAGCCTTCTGAGTAGGTGGGACCATAGGCAGGCACCAAAACACCCAGCTAAATTTTTTATTTTTAAATTTTTTGTAGAGATGGGTTCTCACTTTGTTGCCCAGGCTGGTCTCAAACTCTTGGCTTCAAGCCATCCTCCCACCTTGACCTCCCAAAGTGTTGGGGTTACAGGCATGAGCCACTTTGACTGGCCTTTATTTATTTATTTTTATAGAAACAACTTTCTGAGCTACCAGGAATATGACATGGCAAGTCAGAATCCTGAATGGTATACTTAACCTGCTCTTCTTCTTTTATTTCCCGTTATTACTCTGTCCCACACAGAACCCTAGATATTCTAAAATGGTCCTGTTTTCCACAATTTTACTGGATGAGAGTCATGATTTCTAATCTGACATGGCTTCAAAGAATACTCACTATCTAATATGATTTGCCTGCTGCTTCTATAAATCTTATGGGCACACCAAGTTCTCTGACGTCAAACATATATCTTTTGCTTGTTTCTGGCTTCTCTGTGATGGTATCAGCTTGGGAGTCAAAGGGGAAGTGATACGTATGCCTTGTGATAGGCTGGCCATGGTCTGA